CCCGGACGGCTGACTTTGTCCCTCTATTTAGGCACTCAAGGTAACCCTCGGTGTCGCTATGGATGTGCAAAGCGGCAAGACGGGATGGGGTATTCTGGGTAAGGAGGAAAGGGCGAATGCCTTGCCGAGACCTGGGTACTGCGCTCACGACGGTTGAGCTGCGCTTGAGGTATGGGATAAAACTCTACCGATAGTACCAGCGATGAGACCATATTGGGATGGCCGGTGAGGAGATGACCGACCTGTATGTAAGGTTGCCTGATTTTTTTTATGTGTTCCTCCTCTGTAAAAAATTGACTGAGCTTGGACTGTTGGACGGGACATGTTTCTAAGTCTATCCCCCCCCCCCATCTAAGTCCGCACGAGTGAGAGATGATCGGAAGGGAGAAGGATAGAGGTCAATTGGAATGGAACCAAGAGAAAGAATGTGGGCAAATGGATGGCCGACCGAGGGAATTATAGGAAGGGGGTACTTAGGAATGGGGAGGTAAAATAGGGAGACCTTGATGAGAGGTCTAAAATAATTCTCATCTAGGACAAGGGTTGACCTGACCAAAAGGATCGGTTGGTGCCTTTTTATGAAAACAGGGGTCGAGTGCTGAAAACAAGATGGCGCGATGTTTGCCTTCCCCGATCTATACTAGCGGTCCGGAAATGCCAGTAAATGTAAAGGATGGGGTATCGGTCGTCCTCCTGGAAAATGGGACGTGGGCGGACCTTGAACCAGCGTATCAAACGGTAATGCTGGAAGGAGATGATGCTTTCCTTTAGATAGAAACAATATGGACTAATGTCAGCTTGACAAGGTTGTCACCAAGTTTAATGGATTTGGAATTCCGAGGGACAGTGGAAGCCCGGGGGTGGGTCTTCTTGTCGCAAGATGGGGAGAAAGTTATGATCATAGAGTTGGCACTCGGGAATACGCCGGACGAGTTGTTTAGGAAGGCAGAAGCAGAGGTTGTGTGGGCTGCATGTCAACGGAGGAAAATGGAAATGGAAAGGGTAGACGTACGGGTGAAACTTGAGGATAGAGGAAGCATGAGGCGACCCGTAAGAACCATGCGATGTGTGCTGCCCCCCTTCCTGGTGGATGCGGTTTTCGGAAGGCTAGTACGGATATGCCAGTCCATGATGAACCTGGGGCTATACCAATGCGCTAGGCAAGATTTTTTTCGGTTATCAGTAGAGATGGAGCTGTTCGAGGGGAACTGGGCGGAGGAGGTGGGCGAGATACTAAACTGCCTTAGCGTAGACAATATCTTTGTCCCTAGCGTTGTGCATTGGGGGTAGTCTACATGAATGTGGCAATAGGGGAGACGTTTATAGATGGGGTAAGGGAGTTGGTGTACGATGAGGAGGACGACTTCAGTGATGAAGATAAAGATGAAGAGATAGAGGACTGAGATTTCTAAGAAGGGTGGGGTGACTTAACTTAGGAAGGACGGGTGGCCTGATATTGTGCAGGAAAGGGGAAGATGACTAGAGAAGAGATGATGATGCATTACACCTTCAAGGGATGGGAACCAAGGCGACTAAGAGGGGGGGTAGAGATGCCTTTACCAACGGAAAACGAATGGAGAGGGACCACGTGCGACTGGGTTGGGTTTGAGGTTGCCCGAGACTTATCGTATGTATGGATAGAACGGATTTGGAACCCGATAAGGGAAGAGGAAGGTTGGGATGATATAGCAGAAGGCAAGGTAGAGTCAGTTGGAACGACTGTCCTTTTCGAGGAAGGGTGGCACCTGTTTTGCACTATGTTAGCAATGGGACAGGACCTGACGTGACTTCTAGGGGATGCAGAGGCCCGAACCCGAAAAGAAGGCAAGCGGTTCGCCAACGAGGGATGGGACGAAGTTAGTAGCAGAGTTGTGATGGGAGGATGAAAGGAACTTAAGCCTCCAAGTCTACGGATAACGGCTTGGGTACCGGAGTTCATAGCCGAGTGGTTTGGAGGGTTTGAACACATTTTGGAAGTAGCCGACTCCATGAGAAAGGTGCATATAGAGTGTGCCTGGCTGACTGAGGAGTTCTATAGGCTCTCATTGAAATATGGACCCTTATACGGGGATAAAGCCGGTGAGGTCATCACCATCCTGAGGATAGGTAAATACGACCGCCTAGAGGTAAGCGGGGAAACTTGGAACGCCATAGTTAGCCGGGAGGCCGCGGCCGCGCCATCCTATGTGGACGATATCTTTATGCTATTTGAGGTGAGGAGGTTTGATTAAAGGGACTCAAAGTTCGAGCGCAACAGGAAGAACGAAGTGTGGAGGGTGCATGTGAATTAGGATGTGGCATAAGAGAGGGGGATGTACATTAGTCAGCAGGGGACGCAAGGGGGCCAAAACAAAAGGCAGGCATGGAGACGGGATAGTGGCGGGAACCAGGGTACGAAAGGAAGAGGGTACTGAAAGACTAAAACACGAAAGACGCGGAATCTCGGTGGGTGCGGCAATCGGACTAAGGAAGCGGGAAAGGAGGCATTGCGAGATGGCCCGGCGAATGACGTTTTGGGAAGATAGGCCTCGCGGGATCCGGCCACCAAGGGTATCGGGGGACAGGGTCGAAATAAGCCTGCCATCAAGGAGCGTGGTGAGTAACCCGGTAATGGACTGGGTGGGGGTAGAGTTGGTGGAAGACACTGTGTACTTAGTAATAGAACTGGAATGGCGTACGAGAGGGAAATTCGGGGGCACAAATTTGGACCTCCAAGGACGAGTGCATGCGACGGGATGCTTACACCTGTCGGAAGAAGGGTGGCGGAACTTTGGGATTGCCTTGGCCTCCGGGGATGACCCTGTGCAAATGTTCAAAGGGGCATGGCAAATAACCTGGCGGGAGGGGTTTAAGTTTGCAGATCCGGAACGAGATGACGTGACGGCTGCGGTAAAAGTCGCCGCGGCAGGGGTTTTTGAGCTGCCAAATGAGGTCGTACGGATGAGTCTACCACCCTTCCTGCTAAGACGAATGGGAGGCATAGAACGAGTGGAGCAGGCGGTGACTGCCGTAACTAGGCTAAATTTTGACGAAGCATTAATGTATCGAGAATACTATCAGACCTTCCTAGAGATGGGGCCTCTCGGGGACGAACAAGGGCGCGAGGTGCTTTGCATTCTACGAGCAGCGGTAAATACTAGGCCAGGAGTCCCACAAATAAGTGATGAAACCATGTGGAGAGTCATCCGGCAAGAGGTAGGTCGGGGCGCGACCTACATAGATGATCTCTACGGGCTGTACGAACAACCAGAGGAGGCTACTGCTCCCGGGGGTATAGAGGGATAGTTCAATCATAGTTGGGACTAGAAAAGAGAAATGAAAACACGAAGGGCAAGGGAGGCAGTAGGTGGGCAGATTCTGAAGATTGGCTGTAACCCTTTCTATGTGGACTATGCAGGGAATCACCAAGGTAACAATGGCAGCAAGACGTGAGCGAGTGGAACGCCAGCCCCGTGTGCGAATGGAACGCCAGCCCCGGTACCCCGGACCGCCCTGGAACAACGGTGGACGATGGGAAGTATCCCTCCCGTCGAGTTCTACCTATCGGGGGTTCGACATAGAATGGCGGGCCGTGACTTTGGGAAGGGACACCGCCTTCATGTTGGTAGAATGTCGGGTGACAGGGATGAGACTCCACCGAGGACCCGGAGACGATCTGTTTTCCAATCTGGAAGTTATCGGGACCATGTATCTGCCTGAGATCGGCTGACACTCGTTGGGGGTAGAGATAGCACTAGGTTACGAGCTGACACCGGTCTTTCGAAGGGTCGCCCGGACATTGACCCAGATAGGACAATCGGTCAGGGGAAGAAGAAACGTGGGCTTACTTACCCGGGTGGAAATGGGAGGATGGAGGGAGTTCAGGGCACCGACCACACCGCTGAGATGCCGAGTGCCCCGTTTTATGATAGACCTCGTCTTTGGAAGCCTCGCGAGGGCGTGGGAGCTGGCAGACTCAGCGATAGTCTGGGCCGACCACTTTTCCTCCCCTACCATTGGGATGTTCTATGATGTCGCTGTGGAGCATGGGTCGTTCTGGGGAAACAGGGCCCACAAATTACTAGAAGTCATCTACATCCTGATGTTTTGTGCGCCCCAGCTAGACTGGACGGGGTGCGAACGCATAATCCAAAGGGAAATCGAGATAGGGGAGAATTATCTAACGGGGGTGGCTCAACTATTCGAGGAGCCTACCGTACCGGAAGGGCCACGAAGGAGAGAACGGGACTAGCACCCACAGGCGAGCCAGTAAGGCAAATCAAGCACAGTCCGCTACGTTCGAAGGCCACCGACAGAAATAGGAAAGGGGGGGGACCTCGGACCCGGATGATCAATAACCGCCAGACAAGGAACACCGCGCAGAAAAACTTTTTCTAGCGGGTTGCCCAACCCGGACCCCTACGCACCGACCAACGGAATAAGGGCGCTCTAAACGAGCCGGTGATAAGGGAAGCTAAGTCACGCCCTTGGCTCGGTGAGGCAGCAGAGCCGGACGCGGCTCCATATTAAGGAAGCCATCAGAAAATGGGGATGGGGAAAAGCCTAATTACCAAGTAAAAGGATAAATGCCTCGCACTGCGTTTGTTCGGGGGAATCCTTTGGTTATGCAGAGGTAGGCAAGTATGGCAACGGAGGATGAGACGGGTAATCAGCAAATCCGGATGACACCAAAGGGAATCGGAAGGAAGTGTCCTCAGGAGAGAGTTCGGGAAAAGCCGGGGGAAGCAGACAGGGGACCCAGAAAAACAAGGAGGGCAGAAATAAGGATAGGGGGAGCCCAGGGAACTCGGAGGGAGCTGTGTCTAAGAAAGTAAGGGTCACGGACGCGAGGCGCAAACTAGCAGAAATAGAGAAAAGGACCGCGGAATACAAGGCAAGGTTAATTGAGGCAATGATGATTGGGAACGAGGAAGGCCCTCTGCAGGAGGTACCGCGGGACGAACGAAAAATCAGCCGGGGCGGAACTGGGCAAGGGGATAAGGGTAGTGACCGTGGGGGAACGCCGAAGGAAAGAGAGAGAACTCTCCGGGAATGGAAGCAGAGAAGGCGACGAACCCCTTAGCCACAGACAGTAGGGCTAGCCGGCTACCGGCCTCGCCAGCGGCATCGCGAGGATGCGAAGGGCTATGGAGCCTCAGAGAAAGGGTGTTGGGATGGTTCGACCCGGAAGGAACAGCGAAGACAAGAGGGGGGCAGAAAGCCAGCAAGGAAGGGCCAGATACCAGCGTGGCAGGCGAGGCCAGTAGCTCCGAAGGCAGCCTTATGAAGATAGTATCATCCCTTACACGAGCACTGAACAAGAACCAAGGCTATCTGGCAGACGCCAAGAAAAAGTTGACTTTCGATGGAGCAAACATCACGGAGTTCCTGATCGACTACAAGAACCTAGCTGCGTTACTAAAGTGGACCGAGGAGGAAAAGATGGACCATCTAGGACAGCATGTGTCGTTAAGCCTAGGACGGGACATAATGACCATTTTAGCCGCAAGCCGGTCTTGGAAGGAAACCCGAGATGTGATGATGAGGAAGTACCTAGCGACAGAGAAAATGGCAACGGAGGCCGACCTATCGGTAGTTCAGAGGAAGAACTTCGCAACGTACAATGATTTCCTACGGGAATTTACTCTAGTTGCACTAAGGATCCCCAGGGTCACGGACCGGATAATGAGCAAATATTTCCTCGGGCAGTTCTCCGAGTTCGACAAAGAAAAGATCCTGTCAGCTTACCAACAGACGAGCAAATTCGTAAACACGCGGGATGTTGATTTTAGCACGGTAACGGATCTGGATGAGAAAACGGTAGTAACAAAAACGTTGGCCTTGCTCAAGGAAGGAGAGATCATAGATCTGACCGGTCGGACGGGCGACAAGGTAAAGAAGGGGATTGAAAGTCTACATGAATGGGTGCACGGGGTCGACAATAAAATTGAAAGGATGGAAGGCGCGCTACTGGTTATGCAGGTGCAAGTATCCCGACCTGTCCTCCCTCCCCAGGAAGCTATGGTTCCGCCAGGTGTAGCCAACCGGGGATTCGGACGGAGATATCCTGCTAACGAGCAATGCAAGTACTGTACCGCGATAGGACATTATGTGCGAGCGTGCCCAAAGCTCAACCATGATATTCTGAAAAGAAGGTGTATCARGTCATTAAAGGGGGAGATATTTGGACCACAAGGGGAACGAGTGAACTGGAACTCGCCAAGAGGGATGCGGCAAGCCATTATCATGCTCAACAGGTTAGAAATAACAGCCGTAGAAGCCGAACCGGTGGGCGAGATCATCTGGGATCAACTCCGGGGGCGCGGACCGCAGGTCAACTTCATTCTGGAA